ACTTTCCAGCAGAGATTAAATTGAGTCGAATATCTGGTACATGCCTCACATCTCTAAGCAGCAATTTGCATCCAATATTTGTTTCCAAGCAAATGTCACCCATGCCGACAATTTTTGACACATCTTCATTTCCCATACGGACATTCCCAAAATCACCTTGTGAGTAAGAAGTAAAGAAATCAGCCCGCGAAGTAACATGAAATGAAGCTCCAGAATCAATTACCCAATCCGTCTCTTGGCCAATCAAATTAACGCTAGCATCATCACGGATAATCATGAGTTCATCATCGGTAACTACAGCTGTATCAATTTGCTTTTTCTCTGAATTTTTCTCTTTGTTCTGCTCCTTGAACTTGAGTTTTCTACATTCCCGCTTCATGTGCCCTTTCTTGTGACAATAATAGCATTCAACATCCTTTTTTGACATCGAGCTTGAACGACCTCTAGATTTATCACGGTTGTGCGGAACCCTACTCTTACTCCTGCCTCTCCCCCGGTTTTCCATTACAAGTGCCTCGGAGTAAGAAGAACCTGATGATTTTCTTCTTGTTTCTTCATTCAACAAACTGCTGGTAACTTGACTCATTGTTACCACTCCATCAGGTGCGGAGTTACTAACTGTGACCACCAAAGTTTCCCAGCTTTCGGGAAGTGAACTAAGAAGTAACAAAGCTTGCAACTCATCATCAAAAGTAATTTTCATGGCGGCCAACTGATTCACAATGCTCTTAATCTCATTCAAATGCTCTGCAATAGAAGTACCCTCCTTATATTTAGAGTTCACAAGCTTTCGAAATAAAAATGCTTTATTCACTGCCGTCTTTCTATCATACAAACTCTCCAATTTGGTCCAAAGACCATGTGCAGATTTTTCTGTAGAGACATGATGAAAGACACTATCATCAATCCATTGCCGAATAAAACCGACAGCTTTCCGGTCTAGCTTTTTCCACTCGTCATCTTTCATCCCTTCCGGTTTGCCACTATCACCCTCTATGGGTCCATTCAAATCTTTACAAAATAAAAGATCTTCCATTTTAGTTTTCCAAGTCACCCAATTTGTGCCATTGAAACTAACCATACGTCCAACGTTACCGTCCATAATTCACACACAGAAATATAACGAATCGAAACCGAATTAACCAATTGCTCTGATACCAGATGTTGGGAAAATAGGTTTTCCCACAAGTGTAAATCAATGGAAGCAATATAAATAAAATAACAGAAAATAAATAAGCAAACAAGATTTACGTGGTTCCCTCAAATAACTTGAGGTACATCCACGACGACCGGTAGGTCAGTTTCTTCCACTATCACCAAATCAGATTACAAAGTGGCCAAAAGGCATAAGCCTTACAAACACACCAAGGTGTAAATCACAAGAGGAAAATACCTCACAAAATAAGTGAACCAAATCTCCAAGAACAAACCGCAAGAAACCCAAATATCAAGTGAAGAAATATTACCCACTTGAAGAACAAATTTGCAGATTTTTCTGGCACCAAAAAGGAGAAGAAGAAGGCTGAATTTTTGTTGAACCAAAGATTGCCGAAAAATATGTCTTCTTGCCAAACCAACAGAGAATAGAAGAACCAAAGAAAAGGACAAAACTTATAGTCTTTTGGTGGCTGCCAAATTCCTTTTTAACTTGAAGACTCCAAACCAAGTCTTGGATAAGAGTCCTACACGGGTAAGCCACCAAAAAATTAGCAAATTGATGAGTCCCACAAAGGAGGGAAACCCAACACTATCTTCTCCCGGTTAGCAACCATAACTTGGAATTTCTTATCCTGGATTACTGGTAACCCGAACTTAGAGACGATAGCTTGTTCAACGAAGTTGTGAGTGCTGCCACCGTCTATTAGCACCGTTACATTCTTGTTTTTCAACTTGCCAAAGACGCGTATGGTTTGTGGGTGTTCAGCTCCTGCAATTGCATGGAAAGAAATTTCAGGTATAGCTTCATGATGTTCCGGTTCTGGTTGAACGCCCTCAACATCCTCGATGCCCGGATGGGGTGAATCCTCGATCATAAATAATTGCGGTCGTTCGCAACGATGGACTGGAACGAACTTCTCATCACAATAATAGCATAACCCCTTCTCTCGACGTTCTCGTGCCTCTTGATTGGTGATTCGGCGGAAGGTTGTTGGTTGAGTATTGGAACTTTGGTTCATGCGCTGGGTTGGTGGAGGTCCTAGCACACCAGCTGTTGGGTTGGGTGAGGCTTTTGTTGTCAAAAAAGCTGGTTGGGATCAGAGTTGCTGGTTTGGTCTCCTCTGCAGCTGGTTGCGTTCCTCAATTAGCCGAGCCACTCCTATTGTATCTGCCAAGGTTCTGGGTTGTTTAATCTTTACGTCTATGCGAATATCATCTCGGAGTCCTGCAATGAAACAACCAATTAGAAAATTTTCGGGCAGGCCGTCAACTCGATGGGAAAGCTTTTCAAAAGCTTCTTGATAAGCTGCTACGGTTGTGGTTTGTTTAAGGCGAGTTAGAGCTTCTGACGGGTCCTCATAGTCAGTTGGACCAAAGCGAAGTTGTACAGCCTTGGTGAACTCATCCCATGTGAGTGGTCCGCGAAATTTCGTCAACCACCTGTGCCACTGCAGGGCGATGCCTTTTAAATGGAAGGAGGCCAGCTGAAGTTGTTGGTCTGGTGCAATGTTCTTGAACTCAAAGTATTGTTCTGCCTTGTAAATCCATCCAGTTGGGTCATCTCCGTTAAACTTTGGGAAGGACAACTTGAGGTGTTGATGAGGGTGGTCAATGATAGTGTTAGAATGTGAAGTATGGGGGTGTGAGGATTCGTCACGTGCAAATGGGTTGATTTCAGAAGGGCTAGTGTTTTGGCTACGGGAGGCTCGAAGAGCTTGAAACTCGGTTAACACTCCTTGTAAGGCTGCGTTCACCTGATCGAAACTGGCCTCGTGTCGTGCCAAAATTTCGTGGACATCATTGTGGAATTCTGCATTTGTTTTGCCACGAGTGTCCATGGTCGGAACCTGGCTTTGATACCACTGATACAGAAAAATTTTGAATGAGAAAGAAATAGGAGAAGAAGGGGACTGTTTGGAGAATAAAAAAAACTGTCTATCTTTATTGAGCTCATTCAGGCTATATATAGTCATACAACTAGAAGGGAAAATAACAACAATGCTAAAGAACAGGAAATACTGAAAAAGAGGAGAAAGAATAGCACCCACTATGCTTACTCCATAATAGACTCAACAAACATTGACTCAAACAAATTAGACTAAGTTTTCCATATCTGGTGCGTGCACATATCAAAATCATGAATAAAAGAGAAGCAATTATTAAAAACTTACATCTAATTGTTTAACAGTCCAGCAGCTAGTGAGGATATGTTGTCTCTATATGATATCAGTTGCTACTTAATTGAATTTGCCTCATTACATTATATAGACGAGGCTCACGTTTCGATTTTGACCTTTTATTTTTTTAACTCTGGGACAAATTATACTAAATATTGTTGTGATACTGATAATGGAGAAGCGTAATTGAAAAACCTAAAATTTGACCCCATCTTATGCAAATCATAGTCAGAAATTGGAGGTGTCTAGAAAGTCTCTAAAATCAGATCGGTTGTCTCATAGCAATGTTAAAATTTAGAGTTGGAAAATATTAGGCCAACAATTATCAAAAAGCTTAAACTATTGGATAATATATAGCATAAGTATTTGTATACTTCGGCATATCGCCTCACGTGCAAGCCATAATTTGTGTCAAGCACATGTGGGTATTATAATCATCGAGATTGCAGGAAGACTCGAGCACAAAACCTCATTCCCTTATACCATATTAAAGTACTAAACCATCTAAGCTTATGTCGCTAGAAATAGGATAGCATAAGCATTTATATATTTCAACAAGGGTAAATCTCATAAATGCCCCTTGAACTATGACCTTTCTTTAAATTGCCAGCTCAACTTTAAATTATCTCAATTTGTCCCCTGAACTATGTAATTTTGTCTCAATAGATCCTTTATGTTAAGATTAATCGATAAATGAGACACATTTCATAAAGATTAATCGTAAATGAGGCAGATTGTGTTAAAATTAATCCTTAATCTGTCTAATTTAATGGGTATATTAACGAAAGTGGCCGATTAAACCCAAATGACATAGTTCAAGGGACAAATTGAGACAATTGAAGGTTTAGGGGATAAATTAAAACAAAGGTCATAGTTCAAAGGACATTTATGAGATTTACCCTTTCAACAACAATCGTTACAACCAATGTCATTACCCGTTAATTGACAACATCGAAAGAGAAGAGTTGGGTAGAGACAACCTTTGAAATTATTTACATAAAGTAGCTAGTAATTGTCTTCCAATTCAAGATCGCAACCTCACAATTTTAAGCCCAAAACATTTTGAGCCAAAATATCATTAATACAAAATTTTGACCAATGCAATGGACTCCTTATAGAAGGCCAATTAGTCATCACCAAACAAATTCTAGGGCCATATAATATGCCACAATAATAACCTTGTGAAAGTTTTGTCTTCTTAAAGTCAATGGTTCAAATCCCCTTCATAAAAAAAATGTGTATAGAAAATTAGAAAAGCAAGAGAGAGACAGCTTTATGGAAAATACTGAAAAAAAAATCCCAACAACACACACATGAATGCACTAAACGGGTCATATTATTCTGACAGGTTTGGCCATGTTAGAGTGTTAACGGAGAAGGACCGGATAGATATCTAAACTTTAATTATAGTTTGAATAATTTGGTGACCTTCATCATAAAGGCATAATATGATATACTTCTTTTAAATAACTTTTCCTAAGCACAAAAGCAATTTTATCAAAAATTTAGTGCAAATTACCATTTGCAAAAGTAATCTCTATGCATCTTTAATATGTAAATGATGCATTTATACATATTCATATGTATATTAACTATTCCATGAATATCATAGTTTTGGCATAGATAGCTTGTCTTTGATGTGACCGGAGAGGAGATTAGTCGAGATGCGCGTAAGTTGGCCCAGACACTCTTGACTGTCAAACAAAAAAAATAAATATTAATTTACATGTGATAAAGCTCGAAGAAATATAGCAATCTCAGACAAAGAAAAAATAGAAAACTCCAAAAAACAAAACCTGCTTAAAAATAAAAAATTGTTAGCCAGAGCTGCCTTATAATTTTTAGGCAAACACCAAAGGGACTTAGGGATTCCTAGCCCACCCCGAAATTCTTTCAGAAAATTACACAAACACCCACAAAAATATATATGAGTTAGACTTGTAACTGTATGTTTAATATTTTTTATTGCGTAAGGACTTTCTGCAATTGACCTTGATTTGCACATTTACGGTTTATGTCTTAATTTGAACATGACCTGTCTTATAATCGCCTAATTTTTCTGCGACTGGCTGACTCTATTTTCTATGAATGTTGATTACTGTGTTTCAGTTAGATATATTAATGATATTGCAATGCTATCTTCATGAATTTTTCGTTAATGCCTTTCCTATTTCTAGATCTTAAGGATAATGCTTGGAATATAGCGCATCAAATAAATTATTAAATTACAGATTGTAATTCTGCAACTTAATTGTATATCTAGCCAAAGACACTTTCATTTCTATTGATAAAGAATTAAATATTAAACACTTTCAAAATATGGATACTCATAGAAATTCAATTTTAAATGATTAATTTGCCTCTCATTTTTGCAAATGACTGTAGTTAATTCCCTTTTTGTTATTTTCTGTTTTATAGTTATATTGTTTTTTGGCTTTTGTCGCGCTTGATAAAATTAAATATCTGGATATTTAAATTAAACTGATATCTAGATTTTGACAAAAATATCCAGATATTTAACTTTTATTTGTGTCTCTAACTTTTAATCGATTATTTTTGTTGATTAGGAGGAAAAAATTAAAGCTTGTTGCAGTCACTTTTGTTTGCATTAAGAGATAGGTATAAAAACCTTGTACTGAACCGAAAGGAAATGTAATTGAAATTTATTGAAAAACATACTCATTGAACTAGGCTATCGACACCACAGAAACGCTAAAAAGACAGAAAAACTTGAACTCAAACTCACCTGTGGAAAATCATCAACCGCAGAGGGGACGAGATGGAGGCGAGACGAGGTGCCGAATGAGTTGGGAATACGAAGCCCAATCGATTCGGAGCCTCTGATGAGAATAAAGCAAGACAGAGACATAGTAGCGACGAAGACCAAGCAAATGAAAGCGCGGCGGAGGAGGATAGTCGTAGTAGCGGTGGCAGAGGTGGAGGAATCTGGCAACATTTGTCCGGTGATTTTACCGGCACGGAAAGAAAGGAACGTCGTCGACGGTAGTTTCCTCCGGTGGACTGGCACTCGATGTTCTTGCCCAGAGGAGGGTTTCAATCTCATTTACAAATACACCTTGGGATCGAGCCACATTCGGGAGTCAGGACATAAGTTGCAAAACGTTAACTGAGATTTTTTGTTGATCAAAAAAAAAAACAAAAAGGGTAAATTGCATTTAGACCCCTTGAGATTTGTCACTAATACACCTAGACCCCCTCAGGTATGGTAATTTATACTAACACCCTTCACAACAACGGTTTCCAAATGGCGCAAACAGAACAAATGAAAAAACTAATTAACCCTTACCAATAACCCAAATAAACTTTATCTTGGACAACTTATTCCAACCATAGAATTGTCACAATCCATATCCAAACAACCTCAAACTCATAAATAACCCCACCACCACTTCATCTTCCTCAAAGCCACTGTCCTAACTCCGGCTCACCACCATGCCCACCCACCTGCCTCCGACCACGCTATGAACTCCACCAGTGACGCAACCCACCATCCTCTAACCCCAACGCCCTCAAGTGCCTACCCCAACCCTACCTTGCTGCCAACACCAAATGAAACCCACCCTGTGGCTTGTCCCAACTCCGGCTGACCACCATACCCACCCACTTGCCTTCGACCATACTATTAACTCTACCAGTGATTCAACCCACCATCCCCCATCCACCCACCCACACCAACACCCCCAAGTGCCAACCCCAACCCTAACTCGCTGCCAACTCCCGATGAAACCCACGCGCTTCTCATCTTCTTCCTCTCATATGCTCCTCTCTTTCGTGATCTTCTCACACACTCAACCGCACATAGTTGAGTAGTGATTTTGGGGTTTTGGTGTGGTTGTGCCATTGCAATTAATCTGTGTGTGAGTGTTGGGCACAATAGTTTGTAATGGTTGGATATGGGTAGTGGTGGCAGTGTGTTGCGATTTTTGGAATTCTTGTATCGGTCAGCCAATCAACAAAGATCTGGTGGTGGCAGTGCAAGTGGTGTGGGGGCACATTGGGTTTGTAGTAGTTATGGCCTTATCGGTGGTGGTGAAAGTGGGTTGCAAGTTTTTTGTGATTTGTGGTGGTGGCAGTGGGCTGCAATTTTTGGTGGTTTGTGGTGGCGGTGGCAACATGACTATGTTGGGGCATAGTGGGTTTATTGCAAGTCGTAATGGGTGGTGGTGGCAGTGTGGTCATTTTTGGGGGATGGTGGTGGTTATGCATTTGACAGAGTGGTGGCTCTAATTTGGTGATTATGTTTGGGCTCAAAATAAACATGAGTCAGTGGTGAGGGCGGCGTATGGTTGGCCTGGTGGTGGAGCGCCGTAAAGGGCATAGGAGTAGAGTTGGGATGGTGGGGCACTGTAACCGTTGTCGTAATCGGCGAGTGTGGGGTAACCTGACATCCTTAGTGTCGAAGAGAGAGATGAGCTTGGAAGGGGTAAAGACTATGAAAGTTGTTTGCCTGGATGTGAGAAAGAGAAACAAAGAGAAGGGCATATAGATTATTACTAATTAATTTTATAAGGGTATTTTAGGAATTAAAATTTTAAAAATGATGACATCATCAAATTTTGACGGTGTTTCAAATGGATTTTAACCGTAGGTACAAACTTTGAGAGGTGTCAATATAATATGTCATATATGAGGGAATCTATGTGTTGGACAATCAACTTTAATCTAATTTTAGGTATATAATCTTCAACCCTAATCCTAACTCCTTATCCTACCTCAGATTAGGGAACTCAACCCGAACACTGCCCGAGTTTAATTCAGACGGGGTTCGGGTTGATGATTCCAGATTGATTTTGAGTTACTTTACGGGTTCAATTCAGGTAGAATTCAAAATAGGGTTGTTGTTCTAAACTTAATACATATATTACATAATATTCACATAAATTAACAACCAATAATTTCAACCAAATTTTTAACGATAGAGGCTAAGAGAATGAGAGAGGCAAAGATAACGAGAGAGACGAAGAATGAAAGAACAAAAATAAAAAATCAATGCTAATGCTCATTATATATATATAATTTTTTTTTTAATTTGTCGTGTTCGGGTTTATGAGGCCTTAACCCGAGTCCAACCCAAATTGAATTCGGGTTGAGATTTTTTGACTCAAGTATTAAAAAACTCTTGTCTAAGTTCTAATTTTTTCGAGTTAGACTCGGGTTTTCCAATCCAAATTGCACCCCTATGTTTTAGTGACAAAATTCAGGGGTCGAATATAATTTACCCAAAAAAAAACTCAGATCTTGTGGCGATGTATTCGGATCCTCTACATTTCAACTTTCTCCATTTTTTCACATTTTGAGTACCTCCCTAATCATCATTTGGGCCCCACATGTGCGTCTAATCTCTGATTCGATATAAATGATCACTCACTGGAATTGGGAAAAATTAGAAACGTTTCAGATTGAGACGATCCCAACGCTGTGGGGCCCAGTGGAAAACAGGATAAATTTCATTAATACCCCTCGGATTTAAGTCATATTTCACACACATACCCTCCAGTTCTTTAAGTATCATTGAATACCCCTATCAATTTTTGTCCCGTGATTTTACTTAATTATCCTTTCTAGAACTCTAATTTTACAGGAGATTTATTCAATTTTACCCTTATATTTTTATTTTATTTTTTTAATTTATCCTATGTTATGACCTAACCTAACCATGGTCACAATTTTTTTTTATTGGAGGAATTTAAATGTTTATTTCGCATATTACCATTATTAACATAATTGCATCAAATTAATATAATTTTAATTTATAATTTTATCAAATTGACCTTTAATTTTATTTGATTAATAATAAATTTTATCCAATTAATATTAAAATTTATCAAATTAACTACCTTAAGTTAATCAAATTTTATCAAATTAACATTAAATTACATCAAATTAATACAATATTTTATCAAATTAGCGTGAAATTGATTATAAATTTTATAAAATTATCATTTTATTTTAGCAAACTGACATTCAATCTCATTAATTTTTTTTTTTTTTAAAGAGGTGCAACATGAGAACTTCTCAGGGGGTCACCCATCCTAGTCAATATTCAATTTTTATTAAAATAATACCAAATCAATATTCAATTTCATTAAATTAACCCCAAATTAATATTTAATTTCATCAATTTAACATCCAATTATCAAACTAAAATTATTTTTATTTTTTTTTGATTGAATTTCAAATTAACGTTCAATTTCATTGATTCAATACCAAATGATCATTCAATTTTATAAAATTAACAATCAATTTTTTGAATTTAATATTTAGTTTTATCAAATCAATATTATTTTTTAAAATTAACACTAAATTAACATTTTGTTTAATCCTTTTTTTATAGGAAACATTTTGTTTAATCCAATTAACATTTAATTTAATTAAATTAATATTAAAATGATGTTTCCTACTACTTTAAGCTTGTTTTATATGATCAAGGAAAAATTTGGCAACTCATAAAAGAATAAGTCATCCTATCACACATTTTTTGTTTATCAGTAACGACAAAAATAGTTTGTGAAACGTGTATATAAAGTACAAGGATGTGTATATAAACTATAGGGATTTGCAATAATATTTCAGAAACCAGACAGTTACAATGAAATTTATCATAAAAAAAAATATAACTTTGACTAAGGGTTTTGTAGGGTCTACTGAAACAGAGCACCACTGAGGTTTTTATAGGTCCCGTGGGGGTCCGGCTCATCTGCAATTCTTGGAGAACAACACACGGTGTTATTCAAAGAAAACTGTGACGTTCTAAAAATTTTATAGTAAATCAAACAAATGCCAAAATGGTGCTGCGTTTGGGATCTCGTAGGTCAATCCGAAACACAAAAACCCTTCCCAAATTCTGAGCCCACTATTATCTAAACTTTTCCCACCCTTTCACATAGACGGAGAGCGACGAAAGAAACTAATAGACCTACTAGTAAATCGTGAACTATAAGCTATGTCAAAAGTTATGAATCTTTATAATGGTTTATATATACATTATTCCTATTGTAAAACTCCTATAAAATAATACACACCATGAAAATACTATACATATATACACACACATATATATTACTAGTTTATGCAAACGTGCATTGCACATGAACTATTATGAGTATATGTTATTATTTATAATTGATTTAATAATTAGAAAATATATTTTTAATCAAAAGTTTGGAACATACCAAGAATAATGAAGTTGAAATATTACTGGATTATTAGGAAATAATCCATCTCACTCTTACCTTCCTTTTTCCTTGTCTCTATTGTTTTATAAAAAGACTCGTGGAAGACTACATAAAGCTAGAAGGAGAAAATTTCTTACTGTATTGTTTGATCAATCCTCCATGGCTTCTAATTGATAATGGATAATCCCTCACAAGATATGTTGAAAAGATGTTAGTAAATTATAACAAGATTTAGTATTTGATTTTCAAAAAATTTATGGCGTAGGCAAATCCAACTAAAATGGGTTTTACGGTAATAAGCTTTTATACCTATGTGATATCATATTATTAATTTTTTTTCCTACTTATGTTTCTTTTTTAAGAATTAGATTTTATGGAACACAGAATCTTTTTTCTTTTTTTTTTTCAGTCAATGACTACAAAGTCTCAATAGTCTTTTTTTCGTTGTCCCTTTATGTACACTTTACACAACAAATTCACACCCACGAGAGCATACACACAATAAAATGTAAAAAAAGCTCAAGTAAACTAGTTGAAGATAGAGGAGTGTTGTCAAATGTTTACCTTGGCCAGTAGCCTCGTAAATAATAGTGATTCACCGAGACTATTTAGATAAAATCTCCAGGTTTAAGTTATGTATTTGTCGCAACAAACTAAATTTATGATTTTTTAGCTGAATGAATAGACTGGGAATACTTACTGTATGACGTAATGGTCATTGAGGAGCACTGCAAAAGTAAACCAACACTCCACATTGAGCAAAACGAAAATATCAAATACAAGGATGAACATAAGCTTAGGTATGGCAGAGTGTCTTTTCTTCAAATGAACCTCTATATATTCTAATGTCTTGGAAAAAAATAACTCCTTGGTCTGA